CTGAGCCAGGACCATAAGGACCTTTTTTTTTTTTTTATAGCGCAAAAGGAGCGGTGAATTCCGCTTCCCCCGGCCCCTTTTCTTTCCCTTCTGGTTTTGTTCATGGTAGGCCGGGTAGCACATCGTTTGCAGCCCTCTTGATCAGGCGCAAGTATTTGAAAACATGATAGAATCTGTCGTCTCGAAATAACCTCTTTTCCTTCCCTGGTGTCTCTCTTTTGCTATTGACGACGGCCCAAATTCAAGACCTGCCCCGGTATGAAACAAGAATCCCATGTTCCGCCCGGGTGATTTAACCCCACCGGCCAAAAATCCTCGGCCACACCCCAAATTACTTTGAGTGGCGTTCTTGGGTACAGGACGGCGCGCGGGTTGTGAGGTCGGTATCAGAGCTGATGTGTTTTGGCTCCGAGGTTTTCCTTGGGACGATAGTCTTTTTGAAGGCTGGCGCCCAGGCGTCGCCGCTCAGCCAGCAGTTATCAAAACCAAGCCAGGGGCCGAGTTTAAAATCAACCCCGAGCTATGGCCGAACCGGGTCAGGGGCTGGACAATCATTAAGATGACCAAACAGGGGTACCTTGTTCCTCCACCTTAGGAGGTCGCCATCTTCTCCGAGGATGAAACAGACCCATGCACTTGGCTGGCTGCCTTAAAGGCTCAGGGTTGGACGAACCAGCTGCTTCAAGAACGAATTCCAGGAAGGTTGGCGGGAACCGCGTTTGAGTGGTATGGACAAAACCTCTATACCGACTGGCCGACCTTCCAGGAAAATTCCTTGAACGATCTGATCATATAGTGTCGGGGCAATGTCTGCGCCTGATCAAGGAATACATGCAGGCTAACGCAGCAGCCCCTCGAGACCCTTGCCAGATACGTGGAGCGATTCACCTACCTGGCTGGACGCTCCGGGGTTGACAAAAAGATGGTAAGAACGGATTTTGTCCGAGGATTATCCGACTGTCGCTTGCGGAAAAAGATCCGTAAGGAGTGCAACCCGATCCAACACACCCTGACGGAACTAATCCAATACGCTATCAAATACGGCAAGGAAAACTACGACGTAGGCTTGGATTCGGAATCAGACGATGACGACGACCATTTCGACACGACGCAATAGCTACTCCGCTACAAGCAACGCTTCGAAGCACAAGGCAACACGACTACCACAACCAGACTGCACAGCGAACGTAATAGCACACAACGAACAGCACATGACCCAAGCGGGATAGGCAGCACGGCAACGGTGACGCGCAGACAGGCAGCCCACACATCCAACACGAAGCAAAGCAGCACATGACCTACTCACATCACGGGTGAACACCGCAGACTGTTGGTTCCCACCACCCAATGAGCCAGGGAGTCACTCCGCCGAACATCTGTCATCACCGACAGGCAACACGGACGCCCCGAACCGAGCGGCCCCCCTAAGAGTGCAGGTGGCACTCCAAACGAGGAACCACCGACCGTTTAGCACTGCTAGGGGGTGCTCGGCTAGAGACAAACGTACTTAGAAAAAACATAGGAAAGAGAAGAAAGACAAACATACCGGAAACAGAGACAAACATACTTTTATAAAATTGATTGTGTGTGTGTGTGTGTGTGTGTGTGTGTGTGTGCGTGTGCCGGGGGCCGGGGGGAGAGAAAGGAGGACCCCTCCCCCACCAATCAATCAATCAATCAATCAATCCATCAATCATTTTTCACTTTTTTTTTTCACACACCAAAAACCACCCCCTCGAAAATTAGTTTTTCTACCTTTTTTTTGTTCAAGGGGGTAGGGTCAAGGTTCCTGGATCCCAATCTGCAACCCCCACCCCCAACCCCCTCTCCCCTCGGCGGCCGCGGGCCATGGCAAAGTGCGGCCGTGGCTGCGGGCCGCGGTCGTGCCTGAGGTAACCGCGACTACGGGGGATTCATAGCTACCCGCACCTCACGCTCACACCCCGCCGCCTTCTGCGCTATAAATTCTTCATAGCTATGCGCGATGTCAGCGGCGTTGAACAGGCTTGACGTGCCCAAGTGATGGGCGGAGTGACGACGTGGGACGGGCTTAGCGGTACACCTGGGGCAGGACAGTCGGAGTGACGGAGCGGTGGTGGAGATCAAACGCTGCCAGCGGCAGGGCCTTGTGGCTATGGTTGGTAACTTGGTGGGAATTCAGATTGATTGGGGGGCTGCGCCTGAGGGAGGTCAACCGTGTGTGAAATTTTGAATAGTAAGGGACTCGCTTTATCTCCAATGCTGCTTTGTCGAAGTGCGATGTGTGCGAAGTTGTGAAGTATGGGTATTCTGTTGTATGCGTGTTGTGGTGCGAGAGTCAATGGATGTTGAATGTCTCCATGTCTAAGATAGATGAATGAGCAGATGTGTGGGCGCTTACAGGCACAATTCTGGGGAACATTGGGTGTCGACCGTCTGCATGAACTGTGTTGCACCCCTTACATCGTACGGGGTTCTGTCGTACGGCCGGTCCCGTAAAAAGTGATGAAACCTCCCCAAAACAAAACTTAAAAAAAAATAAAAAAATATGGGGATGTAGAGTTTTTCGTGCTCTTGACCCTCATATATATATATATATATATTTTTTGTCTTTTTGAAAAACATCGAAACGTGGAAAAATAAAATAAAATAAACTTTAAGAAATAAAAATTGATTGATTGATTGATTTATGATTGATTGATTGATTTATGATTGATTGATTGATTTATGATTGATTGATTGATTGATTTACTGATTGATTGATGATTAACTGATTGATTGATTGATTGATTGATTGATTGATTGGTTGGTTGGTTGGTTGGTTGGTTGGGGGAGGGTCCCCCCCCCCGACACACACACACACACGCACACACACACGGACACACACGCATACACACACACACGCACACACGCACACACGCACACACGCACACACCCACACACACACACACACACAGAACATACTCTCTCTCTCTATATATATATCTGTCCCTCGGTGTGTGTGCGCACGCGAGAGAGAGAGAGAGAGAGAGAGAGAGAGAGAGAGAGAGAGAGT